TTAGTTTGTTAGAACCGCAAAGTGGCCCCAGTTTGGCCTTATGTTCTAGCAAAAGCTCATTGCTTAGCCGCATTTAATAATCCATGAAACATTTCTATTAGCTTTAGTGTGTGAGTTGTGCAGCTGCAAAATGGGTAAAAGAAGTGGGACATAGGAATAAAAAAAATATGCAGAAAATGAAAATAAGTGAGATCTTAAATATTTGATCAAGGCCTCTATCTTCAGGTAAGCAGTTACCATCTTGGGCCCTCAAATGCCAAAGAAGCCACAGAATACCGTTCTGAATTATTAAAACTGGGGAAAGTTTTTCCTTCTTTATCCTTCTTACTAATTTTAAATGAGTATGTAGCCTTTCAAGCTAGCCTTTTCTTAAATATTTAACACAGACATGGGGTCAAAGACAAAATAGCAAAGGTCCTCACTCCAATACTCACCTGTAATTATGACTCTGATTGTATAATGCATCTCAACCACTTTATTTTATTTTATTTTTCTTACTCTGCTCCAGCACTTCTCTGAGAGGAATCCTATCTGGAGTTGTGGAAAGTGCACATTCTAGAATATTTTTGAACTATATATTTACTGATTTTGTTTATATTTTTTGTTCACTCAATTCAATTGATTGATTCATTCAACAAATATTTATTAAGTACCTATTGGGCATCAGGCACTGTTTGTTCCAAGTGTGGGAATATAGCAGGGAACAAAATATATGAAGAGTCAGCCCTTTTAGGACTTTTTACTTATTTATTACACAAATAATAACTAAAAATCTATTCCAATGACAGACAATAAGAGCTATGTATGGGACAGTATGAGAGTGTTTGTTTTTCAGTTAGTGGTCTATTAGAAAGTTGATGAATTGGGCAAGTTCCCTAACCAGTCAGGGGAGTGTAGCATTTTAATCAGTGAGAACAGGAGTGCAGTAACTCTGCGATGCAAACAGACCCAGTGTGTCCAAGGGACAACAGCAAACCAAGGAGACCAGAGAAGAGGAATGCCCAGTGGTCCTTGTCAGAAGACAATGTCAGGAAGAGTTTGTCAGGGCAGATCTCACGAGGCCCTGGAATTTGACCCTGATTGTGGTGGAAGCCTTGGAGGACTTTTGAGCCAGGAGTATATTGGGCACTGTTTCATGTTTTAAAAGGATCACTTTAGTTCAATAGCAAGTATGGCTGAGGAAGCCAGGTTTGACAAAGTGACAGCTTTCTTGTGGAAGCCTGCTTGAGAGGCTGGATAAGAAAGACTTGGCTTTGGCAAATTATCTGCTCACTGCTTGTGAGAAAACACCCATCTTCTGAAGTACTTACAATGAAAAGTTTGCCCTTGTTGGCCATTTTGAAAGTCCACCAGTCTTTTTTTTATTTTATTTTACATGTTACTTTTATTCAGCCAAAACGTTCCCTTTCTCGTGAGAGCTCAGAAGTCAAGATTATGGGCTCATCCAAATGCAGAGGCTGACCCAGCTGAAGTCCCATCATGATCTGTGTGAGAGTGGGTTTTCCAGAATGTCCTCAGAACACACTTCTGGGCCTGAGAAACTGACTCTCAGCCATCAGCACACTGATTACTGCCCCAAATGCTCCTACTAAAACTTTGTCACAACACTGTTGTTAGGTAATAGGAGGAAAATGAAGACAGTGTTACAGCTTGATGACACTGGGCAACCACATTTTTTTAATGCCTAGAAATAATTTGAAAAATGTTCAAAAATGAGATAATCTGTCCATTCCAGTTGTTTTTTTTTTCCCCCTTTAGAGACCTCCCACCTATAGCCTTTACTTGGGTAGAATAATTCTGAGGCCTGTTCTTTACAACTTCTAGAGTTTTCTCACAGGATTAAGCTCCAATCTAGTAGCTGGATTAACAATGTATCCTTTACTGGACTGCCTTTTCTTCTCTCCACTCTTCATCCTTCATTTTTCCCCTGGTTCCTGTATCTCCCATATAAACCGCTCATCCTTGAATCTTCGTCTCAGGATCTGCTTGCAAGGGATCCAAACTGAGACCCCCTCTGTGAAATCCTCCTCCTTCCTGAGCCATCATGATCACAGGATTCAGGAGAAATGAAACTTACCAAAAAGATGTATTCCCAGTAAACCAATAATTCAGTAGTCTTTCATGCCCTCAAGCAAAGGACTTGACTCTCATCTAGGTATGTATTCCCTTTCTAAAATATTAGGAGCTAATTGTCTCTCCAGACCCTCTGAAGAATTCAGCTCCTCCCCGACTTAGGTTAGAGTAAGCATGGCTATTGTGTGAGGTTCTTACCTCTTACCACTAGGGGACATCGTTTTGTGCCCAGAAGACTGACTTAGTCTGGAGGAGACTTAGTCTTCTCTGCCCCAGGAAAAGAAGAGTCCCTTGTATGGGGAAGTCACTGTCCAGTGTCCCTCTTGCTCTTTGTGTCCAGGGTCAAGACTGATTCAGCATGACTTAGCCCTAGAATTTTTTTTTTTTTTTTTAATAATCTCTATACCCAACTAGAGCTCAAATTCAAGACCCCAAGATCAAGAGTCACATACTCCACCAACTGAGCCAGCCAGGCACCTTGATTTAGTCTTTAATTATAATCCAATCTATGGTACCATCATGCTACACAGATTCTTAGAAGTCCCTAACCTTTCCCATGAGCCTCCCTCTACTCTGCTAGGAGACAAACTGAGTTACAAATAAGAGAACATCCAAAGGTAATTATACTTGAATTAAAAAAAAAAAACCAACTTATATTGGGAATGAATGGCCTTTCTAAGTGTGACACAAAATCAAGAAGCAATAAAAAAGAGAAGAGCAACTAATTTTCATATTCAATACGTTTAATTTTAATACTTAAAATTTGTGATTTAGGGAAACAAAGTTTTTAAAAATGAAAAAATCCTGTATATGTGGCTATTAAGCCACTTAATCCTCCCCTAAAACTGAACATGGTAGAGATTGTTACCTCCAATTTCAGAGAAGGAAACAGGCTCAAATCGGTAAAGTGACTTTGCCCAAGGTCACCTTGTAGAGCCACATTTCACACCCTCAGTTGGAGTTACTCCCAAGTCCTCTACCCTCAGCAGCTGGGCAGGGGAAAGAGGAGAGTGAACAGAAGAGAAGGAAGACAGAGCAGAGGAAGGGGAATGGCTGAGCTCTGAAGAGAGAAGGGGTGTCAGGCAGGGCGGGGACACCGTTTCTTACATCTGAGTGAAGGGGGAGACCAAGCCTTTTCACCTGGGCACTTACTGGGGGCTAGTGGTGTGCACTGATACAAGAGGGATCATCACTACTAGCCCTCCTAAAGTGGGGACAGTGAGCAGCTCCAGTCGACCTCATGGGAGCAGTGTAAGGATCTGATGACAGGACAGAGGCCCAGAACCAGCTTTATAAAACACTTTTCCTACTAAGGTTAAGAACTTGTCACTGATGCTAGGAGAAGCTGTGCAGCAATCAGAAAACCTTGACATCATCCTTGATGCCTCTTCCCCCCACCCCCCCGGCACACTCTAGTTCACTCCATTAAGAAATCCTATTGGCAGAAACAGATAAATCTTGACATTTACCCCATGACCCCTGAGAGGGTTGGGAGTTATGGAGGATTCTGCATGGGCAGAGGATGACCAGTCACACTGGAGAAGCAAATTCAAGAAGTAAATTATCTAAGAAGGTCTCAGTGATGGGGGTTTTGGAGTATAGGCGAGGTTTGGAGGACTGAGGTCTGGAGCCAATGACCAAGAAAGAATTTTTGAAATGTCTTTGGTGCAAAAGATGTGGTTTTATTAAAGCATGGGGACAGGAACTGTGGGCAGAAAGAGCTGCTGTACAGGGGTCTTGAGGCCTGGAGTTAAGACTGGGGAGTTGGGGGAAGTAAGGAAAAGAGAGGCTTCAAAGGATTTTCATTTGTTAAAAAATACCTCAGGGTACTGGAGGCCTGCTATTATCAAGATAAGGTGTTTTTTCCCCATGGCAAGGCATTAACATTAAGATAGCTGGGAGCTTCCCAAAAGAATGTCACAGAGGTCCCACTTAGAAGCGGAGGGTGGGGGTGGTTGCAGGGTGTCCCCTTCTGGTTGCAGGGTGTCCCCTTCTGATTTGTCCTCAGCTTGCTTTCTGTTCCCTCATCATCAAGGGATAGAGACCTGAATTCCCTAGGTCTCAGGATTTTGCTCATCCCAAATAAATGTTCATTTGGTAAGCTTTAATTCCGTAGGCCTTTCTAACATAGCCTTCCTTTCTCCCTGCCTCCACAATTGTATTAGCTGCAGGTCCCAGAAAACCTTCCTCTACTGAAGCCTCGAGGTCTCAGAGCTCACCAGGGCAGGACTTAAGAACAGAGGTGTAAATTTGTCAAGAGAAGGGAAGCAGGGGCACAGAAAGAGAGTAAATCCTCATCTAACATGGCAGAAAGTCAATAGATAAATCAAGAAATCGCTATGTAAGCTTATTTTTTTAGCGACAAGGGGGTGACCACCAGAAGAACTAAACGGAGGAACTGATACAAACGGCTGTGTGTGGGGAGCAAGGGAGAAGGGCTTGTTGCTCTCATTATAAGAACATTTAGATAACTTTATTTTGTAAACAGTGTTCATGCATTACTTTGATATATCTTTTAATTCTATCTTTTAAAGGTAGAGAAATAAAAATAAGAAATAAAACGGAATACAAAACAGGAAAATTACAAGCCAGGAGGCACACAACACAAAAAAACAATGGGTGAGAGCAGAGGTGGGGTTGGGGGGTGGGAAGGCGGGCGGGGCTTCGAAAAGGCGGGGCTCAAAGCCAGGTCGCCCTTAGGGACCGCCCCCACCGAGGGGGCGGGGCGCAGAGAGGAGTTTTCCTCTGGCTCCGCCCACAGCGGGGCTCCGGGGGAGCGCGGGGTCAAGTTCACCGTAGGGCCCGCCCCGCTCACGCGTTGGGGCGGGGCGGCCTTGCCCCAGGGCGGCCTTGTCCCGGGACAGCCCGGCGGAAGAGGGCCTTCCTCGGCCGGAGCAGGCGCAGTCCTGCGCGGTCCTCCGGAGCAGGGCTACGCGCGGGCCTGGAGCCCGGGTTCGGTGCCGCGGATTCCCCAGTCCCTGGCAGTCCCCCGAGGCTCACAAAAAGAGAGCCTCTGCGGAACCCAGACGCGCAGGTAAGCGCCTTCAGCCCGCCCTCGGCCCAAACCTGGGGGCGACAGGTGGCGGCGGGGTGCGGAGCCCGGCAGCTGGCCTGGGTAGGATGGACGCCGGAACGCCTCCCCTGCAGGCTCTCGCTCCTCCTGCTCTCCCCGTAGCGGGGTCAACCTAAGCCCCAGAACGCCTTCGGCTCCGACCCGAGGCCTGCAGACAGGAGTTCGGATCCCACCTTCCCCCACTCTGGCAGTTTGCAGATACAAAGACGTGTCCCCAGATACGCATCGCGTGCCACCAAGTGCCTACCAGTCGGCCAAGTGCTGGGTATACGGAGGTGGGCGAGCGCACGTGGTGCTCGCCACGCTGGACCTCACAGTCTAGGGGGAAAGACCCACAGCAGGGAGATCATCTACAGACATAGTGTAAACGGTGGAACTGCGGTAAGAGCGTGCAGGCGCCGGGCGAGCGTTTAACCGGCGGCCCCCGTCTCTGAAGGATGCGGGAGCGCCAACTTCAGCCTGAGCCCCACCGTTCCAGAGTGGAGGACAACAGAGCAAACACATTTTGTTGAGAGAGAAGGTGGCTTGTTTGAGGAAAGGAAGGACTGTGGTGCCTGGCTGCAGAGAGCTGGGGGGAAGCCAGTTCCCGAACTTTCCGCTCCCTAAAATAGGAACGCACCTTCCCATTGAAGATTGAGGTGTTGAATTTACATGACTTAGCGGTGTTCCAGGGTCAGTCAATGAAGTACAGGTGAAAACAGGTTTCTGGTTGGAGCAGGACATTGATCTGGGCTCTAAAGAGAGTGCCTGCCTCTGCGCAAACTCACTTCCCACCTCCTGGAATCCTCTTACCTTGTCTGAGTAGGATGTCTCCAACCGCCCGTTCTCTAAAATGGGGTACTGGAAACACTTAACTATAGCACTTCTGACTGGCCCTGAGAGATCAGAGAGAAATCTGACTCAGGAGTTTCAGCCTGTGGGCTTCTGACTCTCTGGTGTTACTGGGAGTGCCCTCCTACTCTGCCTCACCCTCCTCAGGTGCTCATTTCCCACAAAGCCTCACCTGTTACAGCCAGTTTCCTAAGGCTCCAAAACAAAAGGATCCCTCTCCATCAGTTACTTGCTCACTTTCATTGGTGACATCATCCCCAACAGCTGGGGAAAATGCTCCCCAGAGGCAGTAACCTTCTGGTCCCTAGCTGAGGACCTCCAGATCTTGAAATCCCAGGGATTTAGGAGGGGGTCTGGCACTTCAGGGATCACCTGTCAGCCTCTTCGTGTATTTTATTGGCTTGAAATTTCCCACTTCCTTCTTTGGCTTTGTTTACACGGTTGCTGTAAGCTTTAGGATTTGCTGCATGAAAACTGGCTGGGAGGCCCAGAGAGTGGGTGAACACAGTTGAGAGAGGAGGCTGGCACTGTTTGTGGGTAGTGGTAATAAAAACAGGACAGATGTTAAGAGAAGGGTGTGGAGAAAGAGGGAGAGATGGCTGTCTTTGTGCAGCCACTCTGTTCTCCCTTGCAGACCGTGGCGGTGCCTGCCACAGAGAAGGGAAGGGGGTGGGCGGGGGAGACTATAGGCCAGGCTGTTGCAGACCTGGGTTCAGATTTTTATTCCTTACTTCCCAGCTCTGTGATGGACCCTGAGCAGGCCACTTATCCTCTGTGCACGCTTCCCAGTGCCTGGCATATAGTTGGCCCTGAAGAAGTACTCTCTCCCTTTTCTCCTAAAGAACTAAAACAGGAGTAATAATAGTGCCTAGGTCAGAGGATTATTACAGGATTTAATGAGTTAGTGCACCTAAAATACATCAATGCCTAACATGTAGGAAGTTGCTACTGCTGATGCTGTTGTTATTATTCCTTATTTTGGGTAAAAGTTGGTGAAACCAGGCAGGGGGAGGTGGGTATGAGGGGGTGGCTTTGAGGGTCTGTGCTGGGTGATTAGCTGAGGAGCTGGGTTATCTGTGGTGCTGGTTTTACTGGAAAGCTTCAGTAGGCACCAGAGAGAAGAATGTTCTGCATGATAAAAGGCCTCCGGAGCCGGAGCCGCAGGAGTAGGAGGTCTTGAAGACTGGCCTGAGAAGCAAAAGCAAAGGGGTAAGGGAGGGGGTGAAGACCAGGGTGAAAAAGATCTAAAGTTGTCTTGTTCACGTTCTGTCTCTAACCCACAGCTCCGTGTGGGTCTCCTGTGAGGGGCTGCCCCTGCCCGGTGCTGCCTCCAACCTTCAGAGGGGTGTGGTGATTTCCTGAGGCTGGCGTGGGAGCTGGGGAATGCAGTCTGGTTAATCCTGCATCCAGCGGAGTATGGGGCCCAGAATGAATGGTGAATGGATGAATGATGCATACAAACCCACAAGCAGACTTCTCTGGGTTAAAGTGTGCTGATTAAAAGAAAGGAGTATGAATATAGGCAGAAAAGCAAGTGTTTTCAAATACTTGCTCCTGGCCACGTATTTTCATGTATGTTGCAGCGTTGTGGTGAACCCTGCAGGTTTGGAGTCTGACAAAATTACTTGTGTGACCTCACATGCATCATAGAAACTCTCAAAGGCCCAGTTTTTGCATTTGGAAACTGGAAATCATTGGTAGCTGGAGTGCAGGGATACAGGAGTACCTGGCTCTGGCGGCGGGGGGGGGATCCCAAACAGACCCTAACTGCTGGCAAAATCCAAAAGCAGAGGGACCAGTGGTGGTGAAACAGGAAAGGAATTTATTTCAGTGAGGTTAGGACCAGGCAGCCAGCAGACTGACATCTTAAAGGTTGTGGACAAAGTGCCAAAATGACTTCCAGGTTTATGTAAGGAAAAGGTGGGACAAAGGTCAGTAAGTATAGGAAGGTGGGCTGTGAAGATCAGGTCGATCGGTGCCTTAGGGTCAGCCCTGGGGGCCTTGCTGGCTCAGGGCAGCTGTTCTGGTTTGAGGGGTAGTTTCCAGTTCCCACCGGGGATGCTTTCCTGCAGGGTCTCTTGCCTAGTTAAGAGATGTGCTGGGGAGAAGAACTTAATTAGGAAGCTTGAGGTGGAAAGGGAAGGGATGAAGCCCTCTCAGTAGTGTGAACTCCCGGGGCTGTGAGGAGTATTAACGGTGGGAATGCTCCGTAGGAGGTGCTGTTCTGATGCTCAGACTCCCGGTGGGGTGAGTGCTCAGCAGTATAATAGTTGCTGTTATTATTCCCGTATTTATCAGCCCTCCAAATGATCTCCACTGTGATGTGGAAACAGAAGGCCGAAGACACAGAGGGGTGGCGTTGCTTCTGAACTCAGCCCCTTCTGGAAGCAAAGACTCTCTGGAGACAGGAACCAGACAACTCTTGTGAAATTAAGTCAACTTTATGTGCATTTCATTCATTACTTAAAGCACTTGACTATGTGAAATCTTAAAAGGAAAAAAACCCTGCAAAATGATAATTTATGTGCCTTTCAAGTTCAGGTATTTTATCATCGAGATAAATCTTCCGTGCCTCTATGTAAAACCACTTTGGGCTGTCGAAGCTCTTAAATAAAGTGGCTGGTCCTGACCAGTGTCTGTCTTTGCTCGTTTATCACGGTTCCCTGGTGAAGACAGACGGATCCCATCTTGCAGGGCAGGCCACGGGATGGCGGCTGCTACCCCACTGGTTCAGCCACACACCTGGGCATAGTGGTGTTTAACAAGCCACGGGGGGCTGACAGCCCCCTCATCGTTGTCTCCCTCACCTACACACAGACCCACAGCCCCAATCTGGGAAGTAGGAATAGAAGGACATTCGTTCTATTGCTGGTATGAGTCTGGGCAAATCTAAGGTTCTCCGTGATGGGTTTTTGTGTGAAAGTGGCATCTTCTGGAAGTGAGGGCTGTCTCTTCTGTCTCCATAGGAGTGCCATCTCTGGGGCTGGCCTCCTTTCCCTCGTAGGTCTGATCTGCATCTCCATGCCTCTCTGCCATCCCTGCCCCTGACCAGGACTGCCCCTAAAGCCGGAGTTCCTGGAGCAGCTGCAGAGACACAGCCCTATTGCAGGGAAGCTTTTCTGAATTGGTTTTGCCTTCCCACAGTCACAGTGGGCACTGCTGCCAGGCACGCCCTTCTCCAGCTGACCCCGACTTGCCCTTTACTGGGCTGTGAGTACTTCCACAGCTTTTGGACTGAGCGTTCCTGGTCCCCAGCACCGGGCCTAGCTCCTTGTCCTCCCTCCCTCCCTGCCTATCTCCCTTTCCTTTCTTTCTCTTATAAATTCTTCAGGCAGGGTCATGGGGATTAGAAGGCTGAGTCAAAGCGACACCGTCTCAGCCCTCAGGGGGCCCACAGGCATCATGAGACAGGTTGTTAAGAAAGGCGGAGTTAAGCACATCAGCACACACTCTGTCATGGTATGAACTGGGTTAACTGTCAGGAAGGAGAGCCTGGCATGCCATGAGAATGTGAAAAGGTGGGATGGTTGCAGAAATCTATTCAGTATCCGTGTAAAGTGTATCCATAAATGTTGGTTGAGGCTTATACTCATTTATTTATATACCTTTGAAGACCGGTGGATGGCATTTTTCTATAAATTCTGGTAAACTGTGTTTTATGCTGCCAAGGTCATCTTGTAAGAATGCGTACTTTAAAACGTTGTTGTGCTTTAGCCTGGGAATGGGAGAGGAATGCTAATGTTCAGTTTACTTAACCCTTTGAAGTTTGCAGAGCCCCTCTTTGGAAGTTGTCTCATTGGATGCTCCAACCTCAGTCTCACACATGTGCCAGGTAGTGGCAGCAAATAGATGTCTGGTCACTGAGGGTAAATCTAGGGGGTGGGCTCTGGTGCTTGCTTCCTTCTGAGTGACTGGCTCCGTCTGAAAGCCCGTTTTCTCTTTCTCTGATCACCCTGTGCACACGGGCTGAGTGAGGTTCCAGCATAGATTTTCTCACATTGGAGCTAGGGACCTGCCATCTGGGAGGAAAGAAGTGCAAGCTGACTGCCCTCGTCCAGGAGGGCGGGGCTACCTGGCTGCTGGCACCTATGGCAGGGCGAGCCCACAGGGCCCGGACTCCTGCAGAGCCC